TGCCCTGCATGTGGCTGCTTCTTCGCCGCCCCCCCGCTCCTCTTTGTCAATCCGCCAGCCGGTCTGACCCCTTTTCCTGTAGCTAGAGACAGGATCTACCCTCTTCCCCCCCCCCCCCCCCCCCCTGCGCCGCACTCCCCCTGCCAGTACCAGCCCACCATGTCCCCGTCGGTTGATTCGCCCCTCTTCGAGATCGTGGGCGGTGTGGATGACCTGCATGTTCACCTGCGCACGCCGCCCTTCAACACGGAGATCCTGGCTCGCCTGGCCCGGGCCGGCGGCGCTGGCCGTGTGCTAGTCATGCCGAACCTCGAGCGGCCAGTCACCGGGGCCTCGCGCGCGACCGCCTACCGGCGCGCCATCAACCGTGCCGAGCCGCGCCTGGACGCCCTGATGACGCTCTACTTCACCGAGGGCCTGACGCCTGCCGATGTGGAGACCGCGGCCCGGGAGGGTGTCACTGGTGCGCCCCCCCCCCCTTTTTCGCCCCCGGTCGGCCACCAATTGCGCTAGCCGGCTTGGCCGCCCCCTCTCCATCCCTCGCCGCCGCCGCCGCCACCGCTCATCTGCCATGCTAATGTCCCTCCCCCCCCCCCTCCTCCCCTCCTGTGTGTGGGCTGATCCGCTCCGCCGGCCAGCCATCAAGCTCTATCCTGCCGGCGCGACGATGAACTCCGCATACGGCGTCAGCCTCAGCCGGCTGGCTACCATGGCCCCGGTTCTGGCGGCCATGGAGAAGCATGGTCTGATCCTGTGCATCCATGGGGAGATTCCGCCCGGCGAGGCGGTTCCCGTTCGCACGGGCTGGGAGACCGCGTCCGAGCTGGCCACCGCCGGCAACGCGGCCACCGCCACCTCGTCCGATCCGTTTGACGCGGCTCTTCTCAAGGAACTGATCGAAGCTGAGGTGTGTCCTGGACGTCCTTTTTTCCCCCTTCTGTCCCCGGCCTGGTTCCCCCCCCCCCCCCCCCCCCCCCCCCCCCCCCCCCCCGGGGCGCACCCCCGCCGCGTCTTGATGGTGCCACTTACCAGGATCTCCTCCCCCGCCGACATCCAGCCCGTGGTGGCCTGCTCCCTCACCGGGGAGGCCTACTTCCTGCCGATTCTCCTGCAACTGACCCGGGAGTTCCCCCGGCTGAAGATCGTCCTGGAGCATGTTACCACGGCCGCCGCCGTGATGACCGTGGCCCGGTGCGGGCCGAATGTGGCGGCCACCATCACCGTCCATGTGCGTATTCCCCCCTCTCTGCCCCTCGGCCTGTGCATACGCCTGTGGCCCCTTTTTTTCGGAGTCTCCTCCCTGGCTCCTCCGCACACACGCACACCGCCCCCCCCCCCCCTCTCCCTCCCCTCTTGCCAATGGCACTGACGCTCCGCGCCGGGCGCCGTCTTCCTCCGCGCGTCCCCCGGGGGCCGGGGTGCTGCCCAGCACATCGACATGATCGCCGACGATTGGGCCGGGCGCGGGCATCTCTTCTGCAAGCCGGTGGCCAAGACCGCGCGCGATCGGGCCGCCCTGCGCCAGGTCATCCGCATGGGTCACCCGCGGTTCTTCCTCGGCAGTGACTCGGCCCCGCACTCGCTGCCGGCCAAGCTGCCCCCGAATGGCGGCAGTGCCATCACCCTTGAGCAGGCGACCCGCGCGCCGGAGTCCCTCCCGAGTGGCCAGTCCCCGGTGGCCTGCTGCCCCGGGGTGTTCACCAGCCCCCTGTTGGTGGCGTACTTGGCCACGTCGCTGGAGCGCTTCGGTGCGCTGGATCGTCTGGCCGACTTTGCTGGGCGCTTTGGCCGGGAGTTTTATGGCCTGGCGGCGGCCGCTCCGCCCGGCGGCGAGCCTGGCGTCCTTCGGATCTTCCGCCGGCCGCAGGTGGTCCCGGTACGTGTGCACCGACCGTGGGGGGGGGGGGGGGCTTCTCCGACATCAAGCGGGCCAGCCCTCTTCATCGCCATGCCGTGAGGCTGTCCCACGCCATCGAGATTCTGACCCTCGCCGCGCATGCCGCGCACACTTGCACGCAGGAGCACTACGACCTGCCTGGCGGCCCGGTGGTCCCGTACTTGGCCGGCGTGACGCTCCCCTTCTCGGTGGAGTGGGCCAACACCGCCGAGCCCACCGAGTGCCCTGTGCTTGCCGCCGGGGAAGCCCATCCCGATGCCCTGGATGAGGCCGGCGTGCCTTGGGTGTGAGCATCCCCCTGCAGGCTCGGAGTGTGGTGCTCCTCCCTCATGCTTTCCCACGTGCAGGCGGCGTTGCACACACAATAAGACATTCCCAAACCCACGGGCTCTCGACGGGCCGACACAGCCAAGGGCTGGGGCGCGGCGGACAGCAGGGGCGAAAAAGCGACCAGGGGGAGGGAGGAAGTGTCTATAGGGGGGGGGGAGGCACCACCGGAGCTGTCACGCCGCATGCTGGGCGGAGCGCTCGACGGTGTACGCGAGGGAGGGGGGGGGAGCAAGGGAGTTGAAGGAAACAAGGACATGTGAAGAAGAGGGGAAACAGGGGGGGGGGGGCGAGAGAGAGAGAGAGAGAGAGAGAAAGATGGAGGCTGCTCGCTTTCTCTCCCAGGAGAGTGTGGGGGAAGAAGGGCGGGGGCGGTACAAGGCGGCCGCGAGCCGGCGTGCGGCACGTGGGGACGCGGCCCGCCTCCCTGCCCCTCTCCCCGGCCCGTCTTTCCGCGCCACACATCGGGGCGCGTCTCGGGCATCAGGTTTGCTGCGGGACGGCGGCGGCGGCCGCGGTGCCCGGCCGGCTGGCATAGAGCTCCGACAAGTAGGGGAAGTCGTGGCAGAGGGTGGCGCGGTCCTCGGCAAAGAAGTGCGTCACGATCAGGCCCACCGAGCGGGAAATGAAGCCATTCTCCGGGGTGCAGTACTTCCGGTAGACGTAGGCCGTCGGGGTGAGGCGATGGGCCGGGGACTCGGGCTCGGCCGAGGCGGGGTTGGCCCCGGCGGCGCCCGGCGGCGGCGGCATGCGCAAGAAGGACATCATGATATCATGCAGCTCGACCAGGTGTGCAGGAGTGTAGCCGCCGCTGTGGAAGGTCAAGGCATCGGACCAGGCCGGGGACTTGGACAGCAGGCGACGGGCAATCAGCGTGGCCGCCGCGGCCACCATGGCCGGCGGGAAGCAGAGGGCCCCGGAGATCAGGGGGGTCACCTCGATCAGGTACTTGGCAATGGAGCGCGACTCGCCGTCATTGGCCTGGGCCTTGACCAGGCGGTCCAGGAAGAAAAGCGGCGAGGGGAAGTTCAACTTGAAGGACAAGGTGGAGAGGACAACGCGCTCGGCCTCGATGATCTCGTTGACCGAGTAACTGAGGGTGCATCGGATGGTGGAGAGGGAGAGGGGAGGTGAGTGTGGGTGTCGCGCGCGCGAAGCGAGGAGGCCACGGGGGGAGAAGGAGAGAGAGAGAGAGAGAGAGAGAGAGAGAAAGAGGGAGGTGCATGTGGGACCAGGGGAAGCAGCAAGGGAAAGGACACAGCGGGAGGGGGGCGGGCGCAGGTGAAACCACCGGGGTACGCACTTGCGCGTGACCAACTCCACCCACTCGGCCAGGGGAATGTGCAGAGCCGACTCATGCTTGCTGGCCAGGATGAGGCTCACAGCGCCAATGAGCTGGAGCTTGGTCCGGGGCAGCGGCGGGCAGATGGACAGATAGCGGTCGAAGATGTTGACCGCCTGATAGAGGGTCCCGGCGGGGAGCTGCTTCTTGTTGAAGACATCCATCATCCAGTCGATGACGATGAAGCGAAAGTGCCACCGGAGGTCCGGGTGCCGGACCATGTACCCGGGATCGGCGTAGTACTGATGCTGGATGCGGTGCATGTAGTTGACGATGTCGGCTTGGTAGTCGGCATCCAGAGCCGAGGGGTAGAGAGCGTCGATATCGGGCACCCCCTCAGGAAGCCGGTGCCCATGGAGGTGGTTGATTGGCTGGGCGGGCAGGCGGATGACATCCTGCAGGGACAGGGCCAGGGGGGAGACCGAGGTGCTGCTGCTGCGACTGCGGCGGCAGGAGGGGTCATCGGAGGCGCCGTCGGGGGTGGAAGGGGCATCCGGGGTGGCGGGGCTTGCAGGCTGCCGGGTGGCAGCATGCTGCTGCTGCTCCTGCTGCTGCTGCTCCTGCTGCTGCTGCTGCTGCTCCTGCTTCTGCTGCTGGTGGTCAGCGAACTGCTCCTTGGCCGGATGATCGACATGCTCGGGGGGATAGGAAGTGCACGCCGCGCGGCCGGCCTCCTGGGGGGGGTGGTTGGGGGCGTGCTCGACAACATGATCGGCGGCATGGCCGGGGGGGGCTTCGGCGTCAGAGGCAAGGCTGTGGGCGACGGTCGGAGAGCCGGACTGCTGGCGCTTCTGCTGGGGCGGCGAGGACACCGGCTCGGCCTCTTCGTCAAAAGCCTCGGAGCGCCGGCGCTTTTCGGGCGATGTCGATGCGGAGGAGGGCCGCTGGATGGAGAACTGGATGCGAGGCGGAAACATCGCGGAGGGAGAAAGATCGCGGGCGGGGGGAGGGGGGGGCGCATGTGAGAGGGAGGAAAACCGAAGGGACAGGGCAAAGCCGACACCAGCAACCGGGACACACAGGAGGGCGGCAGGTGAAAGGCACCGACCGCCGAGGATGCGTTGGACGCACAGGCGGGAGGGGCAGGGAGGCGGACTTGGACATGGTGGCGGTGCCCGCAGTGGCAGTGGAGGCGGCGGCGGCGGCGGCCATGGCGGCGGTGGTGGTGGTGGTGGCGGCGGCGGCGGCGGCGGCGACGGCCATGGTGGCGACCGGGTCATCAATCGAGATGTCGGCCTGCTGCTGAGCCAGAGGCGCGCGCGGGCCCTCCGGTCTGAGCGGCGGGCCATCCACGTTGGCTGCCAGTGGGACGCAGTCATTCTCCGATGAGGCCGATCGGAGGAGTGGCGCGCCGGCCGGCCCGGCGGGTTGCTTGTGAATGGCACCGGCCTCGGCGACCCCCGACGGGGGGAGGGAAGAAAGCACCTGAGGAGGGCAAGTGGCGGCCAAGGGTGTCAGGAGGTGGGCCGGGCAGTGGAGGAAGGGGGAGGGAGGCAGATGCCTGGGGGAAAAAAAGGAAGGAGGGGCAGATGCACGCGCACAGGGA